CCCCAAAACCCCAAAACCCCAAAACCCCAAAACCCCAAAAATATCAAATTATATTGAATTTTCATTATGCCTGATTTTCCCTGTGATAAATTTACGGCCTCTTTGCTGATAAATTGAAATAATTTTCTTCTTCCTTTGAGGACATTTTTTAATATATCTATCCAGCTGTTTATCAAAAGATCCTGTAACTTTATGATTAGTCCTCTTTTGAATACTATCTTTGGCTTTGATTACCTTCTCATAATTCCATAGATCTGGAGAATGCTCTTTCTGATATATTGATCCCTTATATGCCCTAGATAGTTAAATTTATATATACCTTTCTGAGTACCCTTCAAACTTTACAACTCTACTAAGGTTCTTCATTAGCTGATCATGTGAGGAGATGTCATAATCGTTCTTTCAGTATGTATCCTTCTGCAAAAACTCTTCGATCTTTCTACTTTTGTGCTTTTTAATATCAATGCTTGGAATGTTTGATTTAAACTATATTTATAAAACCTTAATCAATGATCTTACTTTCGGATTATATTTGATGTCATTCAAGGCATCGTACGGTTCTTCTGTAGATTTTACCCTGCCGTTAAACAATCTAAAATTTATCTAGCAGCTATACTTCTGATTGATTGTAATAGGGTTTAAAAACCCAGTACCTCTTCCTCTATTTCTACTGAAATCAAGATAATGGTTTTTATTGCCTATCTTGGGCTGTTGAGATGTGATTATTTGATACTTGCCCATATCGTTAGACCTCTAGAAATATTACCTAAAGAAGTACCTTAGACTTAACTAAGTGGTATGTATTATTAAGTATCTTATTTTTATAGCCGAAAGAAGAATCCTTGGCTCTAGAATCAAATGAATTGTATATCTTTGCTTTATCATTCCGTTGATGATTAGATTGCCCAATATTCAAACCTTCAATCTGTTTACTTTCAAGACTCCATGTCAATAGTGTTCATGAAGGAAGGAGCCTTGTTATTTTCGTCCCATTTTGAGTTTAAATTTGTTCTGAGCACCAGGATGTTTAAAAGAATTGTTTTGGTGCAATCTCTTGGTAATTTCACCTTTGTTGAGTTTATGTCTGTTAGTTGATATAAGATTATTAGTACTCGTATCTTCCATTGAACTATTAAGATGTCTACTAGTCGAGTCTTCATCTATTGAACTTTCTACACTTTCCTCAGATTTCAGAATCGACATGAAATTTTTCTGATATTTTTTAATATTATTAGAACTATGAATTATTTCGAAGAAATTACACATTTCTGTTCCTAAAAATCTTATTTACTAAGCCAACTCTTGGCTTTCTCTCTTCAAGAGCTTTGCTAAGTCGACCTCACAAAGGGACTTTTGGAGAACTTATTCTTGAAACCCTATTTTGACTGTTTCTCCATATCTCTTTGATCTTCTTTTAGCTTATCTAAAATAATATTTGTATTCTAGAATTTAGGGATGCAATTACTTGCTTCTCAATAACTTTGTAGCTACAGAAGCTATGTTTTTCTATTTTGGGTTCAAATATTTTGCTCCATTTATCCCTTGAAATAGATTTAAACACTGCATCTCAACATTTCTTATTTTGCTTCTTCTTCTGTTTCTTTCCCATTTTAGCCTTCTTTCAGTTGAAATTTAATATATTCTGCTCTTTGTCATCTTTTTCTAGAAAATGTAAAGAAATTTTACTTGAGTAAAGCGAAAGAACATCATTCTCGTCAAATATTTCTTGGTTCTCTATCTGAGGCTCTCTTGGAGAGGAAAAGACCAAATACTGGCTTGAAGTGAGCTTTCCTGCTCTTGAAAACATTGCTATATCCTTCTTATAGTTATTCTTCTCTAAACCATAGTAGATCAAGTTTACCAGGAGAATTATTCTTTGGACTAAGACTAAGAGCCATTTCTGAAGTAATTATAAATATTCAATAAAAATAAAATTATTTGGGGTTTTGGGGTTTTGGGGTTTTGGGG